TGGTACTGTGATAGTGTTTTACCATCCTGCTTCTTGTCATTCTCTAGTCTTACCCTCTTTTTCTCTTCTTTATATAATCTCTGTTAAATTCTTTTGGGTAGTTACTTTCAAGTAACATTTTAAATAGGACATTTATTTCTTTAGGCTGGTCATCTGGTGTTGTTGTAAGTCAGCGTACTCTGTCTGCAATCTCTTTTATTCCTTCACGTTCCCGGGCTTCAATCTGGAGGCTTGAAGTTTCTGTAGCAGTGGTGATTGTTTTTACAGGATCGGGTTGCTAGCCTCATGTCAAACCTTTCCTCTTTACCAGTCTTATTACTGGTTTAGCGAGCTAAAAGAGTGCGTTGGCCGAAGATTGAACCTCCGACCACTTGCGTGGTTGTCTTTTATTGACACTTGATCAAACTTTAGTTTCCCAGTTTGCTGTTTTACCTACGAATGATGTAGAAATACAAAGATACTGTGCAGTTCCCACTTGACTTTGTCTGTATATAGGACAACGTTTGTGTCTGTAAAATATGATAGGAAAATGGCACATAATCTGCCTCACCTAAAGATAAACTTAAAAAAATCTTTGTACGCTAACTATTGGGTACTTTTTAGGTAAACGAGATTTTCAGGCATAATTAATTGCAAATCTTCAGTTTTTTTATGGTTGTAATGAAAACGCTTCCCAGTGAATCTCATGGGATTTAAATCTTATTTGAAAACTGTGCTAACTGAACTGCATACACACTAAATACTGTGATGTGCAAGTACGTCGGAATAGATGGAATTCAGGGATCGCAGTAAATAGATGCTATAATTTAAATTTCATAAATTACCAACGGTCAACCTGGCCTATTTTGCTAACTGGTAATAAGACCAAATAAGAGGAAATTTCCAGTGAGGAATGACTCAAGCTACTCTGGAAAATCAACCCAATCACTATAGAAACTTCAACTCATAGAAATTACATAAAAAATAAACCTATTCATCACTGAAACCAGAGAGATGGAATGACGCTGGCTGATGAAAGCCTTAAGGAAGCCAGTCACCCAATGTGTCTACTTTCGATGAAAGCAAAAATAAGCTATGGGAAATGCTATGTCAAACACAATATTCAAACCTCGGAAGGTTGTTCAGAAGTGCTAGGAATCTGTAAGAGTTTATGGAATGGAAGTTGTTAACTGGAGAGTTAATAGTCTACTCCAGTCATCAAAAATGACAACCACGAACACACTGATTTTGTGTTTCGCAATCATGGTGTCAGCAAAAGCACCTTAAGCTCTTTTGCAGTGGAAATAATCTCCTCAAGGATAATGCCAGAGATTCAACTCAAAAGGTAGAAACTCTCCACTTCCACATGCAGCTTAGAACAAGAGAAGAAGGTGGCTTTTCACAGACGGTCGCAAAAGGTAATGGACAATGACCAGATAGCGACTTCAAAATCATAATGGGCTATATGAATGTTAAACCAAAAGAGAAGTAATCATAGGCCTACAAGCTCTTGGAGGAATGAATGAGAATGGAAAACTCTTCTCATGCTTCTGTGAATTCAATGATTCGATGATAGGAGACACAAGGAGACACACAAGGATATACACAAAGCAAAATGGGTCTCACCTGATGGAAATGCCAAAACCAGATAGACTTCATCTCAGTCTCAAGAAGGCGAAGGTGCACTCTGCTGAACCCGAAGTCAAGAAGGGGAACAAATGAAGATGCGGGATTTCAAGATCGAATAGAAAGCCTTTACTGAAGATGGACAAGGACCACAATTAAAACTCAACACTCAGGAAGTGAAGAATGGAACTACAAAGGAAACCAGTAAATCCATCAGACAAAATTTGGAGACACTATATAGCATCACTGAGTAAACTTGTGTGGAAGACCACTGGAAATCTCTGAAAACATCAGCGCAGATGAAACCAATGAGAGACAGTGAAGGAAACCTAACCACCAAAGAGAAGAAACAAAGAAAACTCTGAGTTGACACCCTTAAAGAACTCCTCAGTCAACCGCCACCTGTGAATCGTCCAGAAATACAAGCAATCATACAAACTCGGAGATTTCCAGATGAAAACCAACAAAGTGGCAGCAGAAACAGTGCAAACAGGACTTCAAGTCAGCATATAGAAGACAGAAGTGATGAAAACACCTAGCCAACAATATCAAGCACCAACCACCATCAACAGGAGAAATCTGAATCGAGTCACTTCTTTTACTTATCTAGTTAGCATAATTTCAACTAAAGGCAGCATTGATGGAAAGATCAAAGCCAAAGTTGGAAATGAAAACTGGGCCTTCATCACTCAGAATTCAGTTTGTAATTCTGCCGCACCTAGCAGATTTGGATTTTTAACTGTAATGTAAAGTCAGTGAGAGCCTTTATATGCTTCAGAGATTTAGTGTCAACTTCAACAGAATTCGAGGAATTAATGTTATCAGGGGATCCTTTCAAGTGTTAATAAATGTTAGATTATTTGTGAATATATCCAAGTCTCAGTAACTTTAATTTAGTCCGAATTAACTTGTGAATGAATTTCAGAGTCCCTATAGACAAAAGTTGACGATCTATGTGGGAAACCGTTTTGAAGAAAATGTTTAGGCCTGTCGATTCACACGAAGAAGCAACCTCAAAGTAAGGCATTTGGTAGATTTCATTTTCTGGAATAATAGTGATAAATGAAACTTACCCAGTTGTTTTTTAAAGCAGCCATCCACCCACGTCATTGTTTAAAGATTATAAATTGTAACTTCTTCACCACAAGATCTCATAGACACATTATCTCTTCACTATGACATAGGAATTACACACTGCCGAAGAATTTCTGAACAAAATATCTGTCCAGAAATGGTTGTTTTTTCAAAAGTATGTCGGTTCATGATGGAGATCCCTTTGATGCTAATTGACCCCTGGTGAAGTCATGGTTTCAGGATCATGAAGAGATTCGAAATAGGGCGAAACAGTTGAACAATTCTTCCTGGTTCTCAATGATTCTCTAATTAATATTACTCCCAGAGAAAATTGACCTTAGGATCAATCTAATTCCCATAATCAAACACTTGAAAATCTGACTACTGAAGTTAGACTCTGTTGCTCAGTCTACAGAATAGTGAAATCAAAACATTTATTGCATGGAGGGTTTCATTATGAGCTGAAATCAGTTAGTGAACCACTGGAACACCTGAGAGTAATGGACAGCTGTTTCGTCGTAGTTTGTGACTCTTCAGCACTAAGCATCCCCAGAGTTCGAACCCAGGACCTTCTGGTTACAAGGCCAGCTAGTAGACCATTGAGCCAATGGGACCCGATGTCAGCTCATAATGAAATCCTCCATGCAATCAAATAAAATCCCTACAAAACCAATACTTAGAAAATTAATCTGATGCTCACTAGCGACTGGCCCTATTCAGGCAGTTAACCTGGGGTTCTAGTGGGATACTGTGATCAGTGGGGTACAGCAGGTTGAAGATGAGGCAGTAACTCATCGAAGAAGACATTGCGAAACGGTCGTGTTATGTCGTAAATTGGCAGAAGTTAGAATTCATGGGCTGACCATTGAATCAGGTCCCAGTGGCTCAGTGGTCTACTAGCTCGCCTTGTAACCAGAAGGTTCTGGTTTCGAACTTCGTGGGGCGCGTACTGATTAAGAGTCCCAAACCGGGACGAAACAGCTGTCCCGTACTTCCTGCAGGTTTTCCATTGGTTCTCAAGCTGATGTCAGCTCATAATGAAATCCTCCATGCAATCAAATAAAAAATCCCTAGAAAACCATACCTCAAAACATTTATTGCCGTATATTCCACAAAAAAACGAGGAGCATGGAAGGAATTCAATAATGTTTAAACCAACAACATAACCTAATATTTCGACCGTAAAGTTCTGGTTTACATATCATCACGTGGATTGAAATTAATTTACAATGCAAAGAAAACTCAGTTACAACTGTACATCACTGAAAAGAATTTCAGATGCATAATACTCTATCCATAGAATCTGTATGCCAATTGAAATGAATGCCCTGAATTCCCATACAAAATTTACCAATCTATAATATTCTCATTCTCTGGTAGAAGAAAAACAGGATGAATAATTACAGCCTAACTTGATTTTTGCACAACCCTACATCAACAACAACAGCAACGCCAAGTTTATTCATACACTTACATTGCCAGTCACACTATATGGTTACTTTCAGTCGACAGTAAAACACCTGTAATGAAAGGTTGATTCAGTTGTTTAATTTATTATTATCTTGAAATAAGACAAAAGGGTATTCGAATGCCTACCTATTATTAACCAACCAAAACAAACTGCAGAAGAAACTAAACACATTAAGGTAGGTAAGGTGTATTATAGGCAAAGGGAAATTGGCAGAAGACACTTCGCCTATACGTACATATATTCACATTTATTCATTTAAATGATGTAAAGATATGCGATAGTATTAAAAACGAGGAAATAGAAAGTTGTGTTGTCTACTAGTTAGAACATCGGGAACAATATTGGAGCAGGAAAACAACAAAACAACGAAAAGGAGATGAAAATAGATGAAAAAGAATTTTGCCATTCACACACACACACAGAGATTGTGTTGTTTGTTACTTGTGTAAAGGTATCCTAAATTTCGTGATATACACTATTCCATTGATTCCATTGAACCAAAAAAAATCAGATTGGATTGGATTATTATTATTATGATTAACTTGTTAAATGTCACAATTTGTGTTCAGTGGTCTACACCAATAGAATGTGTAGTTTACAGTCCTTCTTTACTCCCAATCGAAACGTCATACTAATTATCGCAAAAAATAAATAACATAGGCTAGATTATTTACAAAATTCCATATATATAATATCTATTTAATATCATTTTGTCTTATTCATAGACGACTACTGATAATTGTCTTTATAAAAGTAAAATAAAATAAAATTACAATTCTGTTCATTTCCCATAACTTTAGCCAACATCATGACACATTAACTAACTATTGAAACTGTTCAAAAGACAACAATGGTTATTACACAACAGTACAGAAGTATTCTAACAGCAAATATCTTCACTTATATTCTAATACTGCTGGTGTTATTTACCAAAATTTGTCATGTAAACACTCAATCCACTAGTAGCCAGAATACATCTGTAATAAGCAGTCAACAGGCGAAAGAAGATATTACTTCAAAAGGTATGTTATAATCTAATGTTAACTAAATTTGTAAAATTGAATGCATGTAAGTAAAGGGAGAAAAGTGAATTTTCCCTTATAAATCTTATAAAGTCTCATGAAAGCTTCTCTGACTTATTCGTGAATGTATTAAATATAAAACAGGACTGAATTGTTGACGGATAAACTGTATTACATATATTCTTGGAGAAAATTTGTAGCTTAGATGGATAATTTTGATGTAGTCGTTTTCTCTGAGCTGGATGGTTTATTTGCAAAGCTTTCAGAAGTTGCAGAAGTTGTCTAGTAGGGCAATGAAAGCTTCCCAAATAGACCATCCAATTCAGAGGGTAAACGAGTATTCGATATCATTGCAGTAATCTCCAAGTTACAGAAAATAGTTTATTTGCAAACTAACAGACAACATTGTTGCTTTATGCATTAAGTTAATTTGTAATTTAGGGAAAAACCATACGGAATGTGATTGTGGACATTATGTTTAGTCTATCAGGGTTATTGGAAACTAAGTTAGAAGTTTATCTCTACTCATAAATGTTTTGTCAGATAGTTCATGTGTATTTAGCAACTTCTTTATCTCACCAATTTACACATTAAATAATTTTCTTTATGAATCAATATAATAAGGAGATTCATAGTCAACTACGAAGGAACAGACATCAGAGATTGACTAGTCTAAGACTGTTTCATAATAACTGCTCATGTTAATAACTATTTGAATGAATCGACAGTCAGTTGTTTTCAGAGTGAAGTAAATTCATAGAGCAATGATGAAAACCATCAAAATAAATTATTTCTACACTAATTTCCAGAAGTGAATATTATTTCATAGAGTTAAACTTTAAGGAGTACTATCTATCTCACCGACAGAATATTTTGTTAACTGTGTAAATCGGAGATTTCAAATTAATTCACAAAATACCAATTTCATTTAACGTATTACCAATTCTTCTAAGCAGCTAGCTAGAATTAGGATGATTTGAACTAATTCGGTTCTCTAAGCTGAAACAAACACGGCGTACCGCTGATCAGCTCTGCCTCCTTTAAACTGGTGAAACGATCGTCTGGTGTTTATATCACTCCCAACAGTTGATATGGATGGCGTTTAACTACTCATGTTACTCAGTTAGTAGTATGTGGACATATATCTACAACTGATTTCTTGCTCGCCAGTTATGATACCAAGCAGATCACAAAGTGCTATCTGAATAATTTTGGACTCTAAAGGACACTGTAGTAAAGTTTTACTCCTGAAACTGTGCAATTTACAAATCCATTTGGAAAACACGATTCTGATTTGGATACGTATTAATGTTAGCATAAATTGATCGTAATTTTCAGAAAAGGATTAGATTGGATTATTAGTTATCTTCACGATATAACCCTCTTTGTTCCAAGATAATGTTTGTTTAAAAAGTTCAAACCGCATATTCTTTACTTTTTATGTCATTCACTATTCCACTAGTAAACGCCACATTCCTGTTAGCTTAGATAAGTGAAATGATAAAAGATCATGTATTGAGTAGGTCACCTTGATGTGAATTATCAAATGGTGTTTTCTTTTCTTAAGAAGTAGCATCCAAGGATCATGTTGCAAAACATTCTAAATCACGCTGATTTTATGATTTGTATAACGTTTTGTTTATTAAATATGCTATCAGAAGAACTACAATGTCTAGAGGCATTATTTCATTGGATTGTTTTAAAAACTTAACTTCAGATGCTTTAAACAGAAGATAGTTTGCACTGTGTGTTCATGAAATTAATTTATTCTGGCCTTAATAAATATTTACATCAGTTGAGCTGATAAAGGAGAGTCGGGACATATTTTTTCTGTTTACGAACTCGGTTTCTTTTTAAGTGATTTATACTCTATGAAGAATTATCATAATATTTAGCATTTGACGAATTAAAAATAAGGTAGAAATTCATGGTGACAGAATTTTAGTAATCCGCTTTTCATGCCCTTCACTAGTACGCGGAAGAATTTAGATATTTCTCATATTTTATTGTCTTTCTATACAAACTCACATTGCAGTTCGAGCTGACGATGTTGTGTAGAAGAATAATAAAACCTTCATAATTGAACTACTGTCCAGCTTATAGAACACGACAGCAAATATATCTCAATGTGCTGTGTTATGATTATCGTATGATAAATAGACTTGATCGAAAATTTGCTTGCAAGCTCGATGATAAGACTATGATTTTTCTTCGATGTGGTGTGGTTTATATACTCTACATCGGTGACTCATCGGGTTGACTGCAGTTCTTAAAATCAACGAAATTATCTTAAGATTAGAATGAACATTTGATTCTAGAGTATTATTGAGCATTACAAGATGCAACACACACACACACACAATTGATTTCATTCTTAAAAGAGTCTTTTATCTCACGTCGTTGAATACTGGCAAGGTTACATAGATTTTGAACGAACGCAGACTAATACAGAGACACTAAATGAGGCTAACTGGGGTATGAATTGCTCTCAGAGATGTTTATTTCGCAGAATATAATTAAAACATTGGCAGTATATTGGGTCTGTTTCCTTCCGATATTGGCTACTAAGCATGACTTCATGCTGGATAGTGAAAAGATGACACTTGGTATTAAATACGAAAGTTTTTTATGCTGTTGATCCTTATTTTGTAAACTGAGAAATATATACCAAAGTCCACTTTAAAACAACAGGCACCTATTCAGCATAATACTAAGCGCTATTTTATATGTATACGTTAAAGTGATTATACGAATGAAAACAACTTGTATTCACAATTCAAATTGTTTTATCTACCTTTGTTAGTCTAAATTATAAGCAAACATTCAGAATATCTAACATTATCGACATCAACACTGTCAGCATGCAAAAATTTATTCAGTATAAAAGTGTGTGTGTGCATGATATTTATGATTAATTACATCAGAAGTGATGAAGTGTAACGTACTTCTGTTGAGCAGAGAAGGAAAACGCATAATTATCTTAGGAAAAACTGACTATCCAACCTAAATAATGATTTCTTGAACAGCATCAAAAGCCCCCCAATTTATTGGATACGAGATACAAGTCCTGAAGTTTTTTACACTGATTAACACTTTTAGTCTGACTGTAAATTTTAAGGTGACGAGTCGATGAATGAAATCTCGTGGGCATAGGTTCCTTTCTCTGTAACACGGGCAAAATAACTGTTGACTTATTTTAATGCCTAAGTATTTATCCAGTTATTATTATTTAAATATTTGCCCTGAGTTTGTCACTTATTTGAAAAATTCACTCATGTGTTAATGACTCATAGCTTGTAATAAAAGAGTATCTCTTCATCAACACTTTCTCTCTATTTGTTCAAAAAATTACCCAAAAGATTCTCTTGATGAGAATATTCTTTAAAATTCTGATGAAATCAAAGGATAGGTAGTAAAATGAACAAAAAGAATTAATGAAAAATGGAGGAATTTCATCAGTTTCTAAATACAAGCCTCTAATTGTTTGTATTGTCCACCGGATTCCCCAAGTGCCATACGTGTTATCAATCATACCACTCTTTAATTAAAAAATAATAACAATTTTGAACGCGTACACGTTGGAGATACGATCGAAGTTTGGTAAGGCTGAGAATTTATACGTGCTATGCGTGCTTTGACAAAAATTAGTTCCGAGTTTGATCATGGATTGATATGAGTGAGAGAAGCGTCCTATTAGAGTTAACAGTGATAGGTAATTGGATTCCGTCCCAATAGTTAAATGGTGTACAATTTTGCTTTATAACTGGAAGGTACTGCTCTCGAACTTCAGGTGGTGTTTACTGCCAATGTGTCCCTAAACTGAGATGAAACAGCCCCCTGGTTTTCAGTGCTTGGTAAAAAAAGTGAAACAAATCAAGTCCCTATGAGCTGACCTTTGAAAAAGAGATGTTTGAGTGGTATCATTTCTTATTTCAGTAGATATTCAATTTAATAAAAACTCAAAATGAAATGCGAGATATTACCTAGGATGAGATTCGTTTCCTATATAAAAGCCTTTTCACTGCTGGTTTTGCGAATCCAGGAAAGATTAACAAGATAGTTTGTCTATTATACAGCTTATGTGAAGACCATAGCGCAGTGCTAATTCAGTCATTTATAATCTCGGTTTATATTTTCTTATTTCAAAACGGATACTTGCAGCTTTGTCATTGTAATATATTCAGTAGAATGAGATAATTTACACGAATTGTGGAAACACTATATTCGTCAAAGTAAATGTTCCCTTTGACTTTGCACCCAATACAAATGAAATGTGGAAAGATGTAGCATGTACTCCTTCATATTAGAGCATATAAAAGAATTGGGGATGCCTGGCGAAATCAGGAAATGTGAAATTTTCAAACACAGAAAACACAGGACAAAGAAGTCCTAGCGATTATGCACTCAGATCACTTTGTAATTAGTAGACATTTTGATGGAGATTAAATAAAATAACTATTGATGAAGACACTATACAGACAGAAGCCCAAAGTTCAGATCAATGGATACAATGAAAAGTAGACCTCTAAAGTTAGTCAACGTCATTAAGAAAGCAGATTATTTCAAAAAGTTGCTTCAAAATGAAGTGAGCACCGAAGATATTGTTTATAGGGGCGAGGAAAACTTTTCCTTTACGCTATCCACATTACTCAAAGTAGTGTTCAATATAGTCTAATGCTTAATGAGGAAGGTGAGACAAGCAATTTCTAATATCAACTCAACAGGATGGGTAAACGGTGCAAAAATGGAAGTTAACTGAAGAATCTGAAGCCAGTAAATGAGTAAAAGAAGCCAGAATATATCTACTAATACTGTTCGTTTGATCAGAACACCTTTGGGTTTGTATAAATCCTGTTAGAAACCTTTTATAGTATCATTTTCTGTGAGCCGAATAACTTCAGATATTTAGAAACGTTTGCCATTTCATAGAACTAAAAAGCACCAACCAAAATTCGTGTGTCTACAGGGCATCAACTGTTCTTAAACTCAATGTTGCTAAT